AGATTGCATAGCATAGCATAGCATAGCATAGCATAGCATAGCATAGCATAGCATAGCATAGCATAGCATAGCATAGCATAGCATAGCATAGCATAGCATAGCATAGCATAGCATAGCATAGCATAGCATAGCACAGCTTGCAGATTGCATATGCTTGCAGACTGCATATGCGTGCAGACTGCATATGCTTGCAGATTGCATATGCTTGCGGACGGCATATGCTTACAGATTGCATAGCATAGCATAGCATAGCATAGCATAGCATAGCATAGCATAGCATAGCATAGCATAGCATAGCATAGCATAGCATAGCATAGCATAGCATAGCATAGCATAGCATAGCATAGCATAGCATAGCATAGCATAGCATAGCATAGCATAGCATAGCATAGCATAGCATAGCATAGCATAGCATAGCATAGCATAGCATAGCATAGCACAGCATAGCATAGCATAGTGCAGCGCAGCATAGCATAGCATAGCATAGCGCAGCATAGCGCAGCATATGCTTGCAGATCGTATATTTTACAGATCGCATATGCTTGCAGATCGCATATGATTGCAGATCACATATGCTTGCAGATCGCATAGGCTTGCAGATGCATAGGCTTGCAGATCGCACATGGCATATGCTTGCAGATCGCATATGCTTGCAGATCGCATATGGCATATGCTTGCAGATCGCATATGCTTGCAGATCGCATATGCTTATAGATCACAGCACAGCATAGCATAGCATAGCATAGCATAGCATAGCATAGCACAGCACAGCATAACATAGCATAGCATAGCGCAGCATAGCATAGCATAGCATAGTGTAGCGCAGCATAGCATAGCATAGCGCAGCATAGCATAGCATAGCGCAGCATAGCATAGCATAGCATAGCATAGCGCAGCATAGCATAGCATAGCATAGCATAGCGCAGCATAGCATAGCATAGCATAGCGCAGCATAGCGTAGCATAGCATAGCATACCATATCGCATATGCTTGCAGATTGCAGATCGCCTATGCTTGCAGACCGCATAACTTGCAGAGCGCATATGCTTGCAGAGCGCATATGCTTGCACATCGCATATGCTTGCAGATCGCATGCGCTTGCACATCCCATATGCTTGCAGAGCGCATACACTTGCAGATCGCATATGCTTGCAGATCGCATATGCTTGCAGATCGCATATGCTTGCACATCCCAAATGCTTGCAGATCGCATATGCTTGCAGATCGCATATGCTTGCAGATCGCATATGCTTGCAGATCGCATTTGCTTGCAGATCGCATATGTTTGCATACTGCATTGCTTGCATACCGCATATGCTTGCAGATCGCATATGCTTGCAGATCGCATTTGCTTGCAGATCGCATATGTTTGCATACTGCATTGCTTGCATACCGCATATGCTTGCAGATCGCATATGCCTGCGGATCACATATGCTTGCAGAGCACATATGCTTGCACATCGCATATGCTTGCAGATCGCATATGCTTGCAGAGCGCATATGCTTGCACATCGCATATGCTTGCAGAGCGCATATGCTTGCACATCGCATCTGCTTGCAGAGCGCATATGCTTGCACATCGCATATGCTTGCACATCGCATATGCTTGCAGATCGCATACGCTTGCACATCCCATATGCTTGCAGAGCGCATATGCTTGCAGATTGCATATGCTTGCACATCGCATATGCTTGCACATCGCATATGCTTGCAGAGCGCATATGCTTGCACATCGCATATGCTTGCACATCGCATACGCTTGCACATCCCATATGCTTGCAGAGCGCATATGCTTGCAGATCACATATGCTTGCAGAGCGCATATGCTTGCACATCGCATATGCTTGCAGATCGCATATGCTTGCAGATCACATATGCTTGCAGATCGCATACGCTTGCACATCCCATATGCTTGCAGAGCGCATATGCTTGCACATCGCATATGCTTGCACATCGCATACGCTTGCAGATCCCATATGCTTGCAGAGCGCATATGCTTGCACATTGCATATGCTTGCAGATCGCAAATGCTTGCACATCGCATATACTTGCAGATTACAAATGCTTGCATACTGCATATGCTTGCAGATAGCATAGCATAGCATAGCGCAGC